CTCAGCGAGACACTTCATAAACATCGGGATCATATTCTCATTCCTTTGGTTGCCACAGAGGCCCCTTACCACCCATCCAGATTCTTCCACTTTGTGTGCTTGCAACAGATAGCTCCAGGTGGGGATCTGGGGCTGCGCACACCTTCATTCCATGAAGCTCCCCTCCTAGTCAGACAGAACCGAAGCTTTCAGAGCCGGACTTGGTGTCTGCAGACTGATGAGCCTCAGCGCTCAGTGTATTCCAGGGATAGCTTCAATGCAGACTTTGGGGTCTTCTGTTGTGGGATCCCGAAAAAAAAATCTTTGATTACCAGCTTGTGAGTCTGAGAGCTGCTCTTCGAGAAACTGCAAACCTCTGGCCAGGGGTGCCTTCCTGTTCTTCTTTGCAGCTCCCTCAGGCTTTGGGAACACAACAGGCCTTATGGATTAAGGGAGAGTGAGAAATACTCTTACAGTGTGTCTATTATGGATTTATTTTACACACTGTGTATTACATTGACTCTCATATATAGCTGCAACCAAGAAAGGCAAACAGTTGCCTGAGAGGGGAAAAGAAACCCCGGTGTGTGAGGAGGATCTGATGGTGCAGGGATGATAAATTCATCTCTGCCTCTTGCCACTGACTCCTCTAAGCAAAGCTGTGTGGTGCAGCCCTGTCATTAGCTTCTCTGCTGGAGCTCGAGCAATGTTAACTCGTTGAGAGGCATTCCTTGTGGGGCAGCACATCACTTATCTACTTTCCCACCGGTTAATCTCTGTCCCCAAAGATGAACTCCTCACATTCCTTTACAATGACCTGGCTCTTTGAAGCACAACCACCCCTTGCTAAATGCAGCTGTCCAGCTGAGGGATTTACAAGGACCACCCTTGCTGGGCTGGGGGTGGAGTGTTTGCCCAGCATGCTCTATGAGCAAGCCCACCACTGCAATGATAGCAATGATGACGATGCTGATGGTCATAATAATGAAGACAACAATAACAAACTACCGAAGACAGAAGGAGGCGATGTGGGACCACTCCGGAGTTTCCCGATTACCTTGATTACCTAGAGAATAAAAGGTAAACACAGGTAGGGCACCAGGAACGCTAGTGTCACTCGAGGTCCCACGACAGGATTGAAGCAGATAAATAAATAGCCATACCCCAGGGGCAGGGTTCACACCCAGAAAAATGTCCGCCTATGTCTCTGGTTTTTGTTTAATCAGGCTAAAATTGTGCATCCTCTACTTGAATTCTTCTCCCTTTTGGAGACGGAGATTTTGAGACTCTCAGAATATTTAATTTGCTTTCTCAAAATGTGGTGAAGAGAGCCACTAGCAGTTTCAAAGTTTCAGTCCATTTAGTTGAACATTTGGTGTGTGCACGTGTTCTTCTGTACATATTGATGTATGTGGACATATTCACTGAAGATGCACATACATGTGCATACACATGTGAGTACATGTATGTGGAAGCCTAAAGAAAACCTTGGGGGTTATTCCTCAAGATATACCAACAAAGTGTCCTTTATTGGCCTAAGTCTTACCTGTTAGGCTTGTCTAGCCGGCCAGTGAGGCCCAGGAACCTGCCTGTCTCTGCTTCTCCAGCACTGGGATTACCATTGCATGCCACCATACCTGCCGCCTTTTATACTGGCCCTGGGAATTGAACCCAGGTCCTTGTGCTTGCAAGGGGAACATTTTACCAACTGAGCCATCTCACTAGGCCCTGTCATGGAATGGTCTATAATGGTTTTGATAGTTCTGAATAGTGCACCACATTACAGGTAGAAGTAATCTTACCATTGGATTAACTGTGTGAGACAGTGTTGTACACACTCTATATACACGGACTCATTAAAACAACGCAACAGTCCTATAAGGTGGGCACTAATTATTCCCATGCAGCAAATGAGGAAAATGAAGCTCAGAGAAAGGGGTCGCATTGTGCAGGATGTAGTCACACAGTGTCAGACTTCTGTGTGAGCTGTGCCATCATCTCCTGGAGCACAGTAGTGTAGCAGGGCTCTCTGTTCAAAACCTATTCTCTCAGAGTCTTTTGGGGCCAAAATGTCTACCGTAAACCATAAAAGTCTTTACGAAGAAGGCAGGTTCATTTTACATGCGCACCATGTTTTATAAAGATGGCATGTTAAGTATCATGAGTAGGATATGAGAGGGACAATGATATTAAGTGTGTGCACATGCTCTTGTGTAAGTGATATTCAGCATCCTTAGTCCCAGGACATCACTTACCACACACGATCATTATACACCCAGAACAACTAACAACTGTCTCTTGGGGTCAGACAGGGCGCGTGTGCAATCCTGGGCGGGATGACTACTGAGCTGTCACTTCCGTCTCCCGTAAGCCACATCATTTGGTTAGTGCTCAAGACCGTCTAATGACTGTATTCTGTCAATCATGTTATAAATAAATGCTAATTGGCCAGGCAGGAAATATAGGCAGGAAAACCAGACAGGAAGTAGAACTGATGTAATGAAAACAGGAGAATTCTGGGAAGGAGGAAGTTGATTCTTCCCACTTCTACCCAGACCACCGAAGCAGGAGGATGTGATCTGCCCCACTGAAAAAAGGTACTGAGCCACATGGCTAACATAGATTAGAAAAATGAGTTCATCAAGATGTGAGAGTTAGCCAGTGAGAAGCTAGAGCTAATGGGCCAATCAGCTTATAATTTATGGAGACCTATGTGTGATTTTCTTTGGGGCTAAACAGTTGTGGGGTACCACGCAGGACAGAAAATAACAACAAATAAGCAGGCCTGGACTGTTCATGTTACAGAGGAAGGCAGAGATCAGTCATATTTCAGTGGGAGCACGGGAAAGGCAAGGCTCCCCAGTAGTTACCTTCACCATCCCATGCCTGATGGATGGGCTGGACACTTGTATTGCAAGATACAGAGGAAAAACCATGAGCACACAGATCTAAAAGACGTGGTTTGGAATCTGGTGGTGGAGGCTGCAATTTACCCACACATTAGCTAACCTCGCCAAGCTCTCTGTCTGTAAAGTGGAGCCATAATCCCTCCCGCACACAGTAAAATTGAAGGAAATAGCTGCGTCAAAGCTAGAGAGTGGTGCGGGTGGGGTGGGGTGGGGGCCATGTCAAAGCCATCCTTCTCCCGTGCATTGGACCAAAGGTCAAAGATGCTTCAGCCCCCTCCCTACTTGCTACATGACCCTGACCTCTTCCCATCTCTGCACCTCCAGTTTCTTGCCGATAAGAACAAACAGAATCAGATGGATCTTTAGGAAACTTGCCATGTGGTTCTGTGAGCTAGGTGTCAGCAGCAGGCAATGAGGACCAGAAACTAGGGCAGGAACATGGGAGAGCAAAAGACCATCACGGGCAGGCTCAGTCCAGGTGATCTGACACAGGAGTCCCCGAGGATACTTTCCAGGCGTAGTGCAGACAGTTATGGTCCCAAGGAAAACAGAAGCCTAAGTATGTCAATCTTCCTTTGCCTGAACTCCTGCCATGGCCCCTCCCTCTCTCTCCCCGGCATCCGCTGTTCTCAAGGCTTCTTTACATTCTGGATTCTTCCAGATCAAAAGTTACCTCTCTCTCCTTTACACTGCCCTGCTCCACGCTTCTTGGGATCCTGGAAGGATGGAGTGGCATGCTCTGCTCTGTGACGGACCAGGTGAACACACCCAGGTTATGGCTTTCAGAGAAGCTGCCCTGTGCCCACAGGAGGCTCTCACAAGCGCTCTCCTTGTTTGTAGACGTCTTAGCAAATCAGAAAGGCTGATCATGGGACTCAGGAACGTGTCTCTGTTCCAGTCTGGTCCCCAATTACAGTAAATTAATTAATGTGGTAATATGATGATTACTGACTCACAACAACTGTGGCTGCTGCACCAGACTGAAGGCAGGCTCCATTGCTGGGGGACACCGACCTCACAGTCACCCAGGCACTGTGGCCTCTGTGACAATGGCCAGCCACCACCCCTTTATTCGGGCACTCATTAATTTGTTCCGGTTTGTTCATAAGAGGAAGAGCCTGAGAGGACGAGGTGTGGAGAGCACAGAAGAGCGAGGTCCCAGTCTCTCCAGACTGCTGAGGGGAAATAGGAGCACAGTCCGGGGCCAGGTGAGACTTCCGCTGAAGAAAAGGGCCAACCACTCAAATCTCGACCTCTGACCTGGACAGGAGACATTTAGCTTTGCAGGCAGTTGTCTCTCTCGCTGGCGGGGAAGACCTGAGTCCTAGAGAGGTAAGAAGGCTCATCCAGCAAAGCCCAAAATTAGTGAGATTGATGTCCAGACCCAAGTCCTGCGCCCCCCTCCACTCAGGACGTATCCTCCCGTCTAGTCTCTCTGTGCTAACTCAACTTCCTCGGCAGAAGCAAAGAGGATTGAGCCCTCGTCCACCCACGGGTTCATGACACTGGCAGAACCTGAAGAAGGGCAGGCTGGGAGCAGATGTAGAGTACTGTGTCTTTCTACTTCCTTCCTAAAGTGCTGTGCCCTGTCTTCCTTGGGTATTCTGTTTTCAGAGGAATTCCCTCCATTAGGAAATTAAAAAAGGCTGTGTGGACCTGGCATATTGTTGTCCTCTGTGGTCTGAGAAGAATTGCCTGGAGTGCGGGCGAAGAGGGGAGACAACAAGGAGGAAGGCGGGCTAACAGCACTTCCCATCTTCCGGCCTCTACCTCATGTGATTCTCGCATCTCTGTGAGGGAGATATTAGTAGTACCTCGGGGACACAGACAAGTCCAATTACCTTGACCAAGTCATGGGACCAGGTGTGCCTGATGATAAACAACAACTTGGCAGGTCATTGAACACTCCAATGGGTACCTGTAGTTACTTAGATAGCTCGTATCTGAGAGCTTCGACGTTCCTCTTCAGCCAAAGAAACCTTCAAAACTGGTTTTAGTCTAGAAGAGCCAAACACTGATGTCAAATCCACAACGCACTCTCAGTCCAGTGAACTGCCCCACGGCTGCTACCAGATAAACCTTTTCTCCCTCGCCCCTGTTCCGGAGGCATTTCTAAACCATGACCCCTCTCCACCGTGGACGAAGCTACCAGGAAACTTTTCCCATCAGCCATTACCTCAGCCAGGCCAAGTCCCTTTCGGAGCCTCTGAAGTGTTTAGTGGTTCATGATTGGCTTCTCGAGCATTTGGAGAGGACACTAAAGTTTAAGGTTTTAAAGAAGAAAGTCCAGAGAGCCCACGGCAGGCAGGGGGAGTGTCCCTGCCAGTTTTCTTTAAATGTGCCATCTGTAAGGAGCTGCTGGGTACGAGGTCTCTTCAGAAGAACTGCCGAATTCCCCACTCAAAAGCCAAGGTCACAGTGGGGACCTTTAACCGCCACCTAGCCACAAGCTGCAGTGTTAAAGTTTCTCAGTTAGGGTTGTGATTTAGATGTGAACAACATTGTCCAACAATCTAGAAAGAGAAACGGCCTCCCCTGGTCCCAGCGCCTCTGGCTCTCATCCGTGCCACACACAACCGTGCCTTTGCTCCTCCATCAGAGGAAAGGCCCTGCCGTTGGAGACTTTTCATATAAGAATAGCTGTCACTGGCAAAGAGAAGACAAAGTGTTTTTGTTTTATTGGTTGACCTCCCACTCTTCAGGAGCAAAGCACAAAAGATCATTAATTATTAGCTTTTCTCTGCTTCCAACACATACACACACACACACACACACACACACACACACACACACACACGCAGAGCTGCATTTCCAAAAAACTGCATCCTGCTCATTTGAAAAGTCCTGCTCTGGTGTTTTCCTGTGTGGGAAGAACATGGTTACACCCAAAGGCAGCACTAGCGTTCATTTTCACTGCACAGAGAGCAAGGCTCCTGAATCCAGGATTCGAGGAACGCTAACAGTGGAATCGGCACCATCTTGGTTCTTGTCCCTAGAAAAACAAATGTCAACCTTGAAGACGGGACGCAGCATCCACATGAATGGTGACATTCCTGCCTTTTGTGTCTCTGTGTTCTGTTAGGAACATAATGTTTGTGGATGTGGACCACTGACGATCAAAAGGAAATGTTCTGTTCCGACTACCCTGCTCCCCCTGGGGAATGTGTATGCACTTGTCAAGAAGAAATAACCCCGGAAGCTGCTTCTTCAGAAGTGCTTAGCTCACAGAGCCATCCTCGGCTCGTGTTTGTGTTCGGCAGGACCTAACATCTTAATTGATTGTTTTGAAAGACCCACCTGGGCAGACTCGTCCTTTTCCCTCTCTGCATCCCCCGCCCCCACCCCGCGCCCCTGCAAGTCATGTTCTAAGGGGCTGGAGAATCCTCTGCACAGCATACTCACCTCAGGAAAAGGGACAGGGTGGGTGAGGTCGGCACCTAAAAATCCCGGATGAGGCTTCTGTGCCTTAGCTTGTTCTTAATATCACTCTCCCACCCTGAACTTTTAAGTACTTTATAATATGCGCTGTGATGGCCAACGACATAGCGTGGCCTGCGGTTGTTAATGGCCCTCATCGTAGGGTGGGTGTGCGCCATCCGGCACAACCAGACAAGGCTGTTTTCCGTGGTGTGGGGGGATGGGACTTTCCCTGCTGCAGTCTGGAACTAATGAGAGGACAAGACCTGGAAGCGGGGTCTCGCGTACACGATTCTCTGTTCCTTAATGAGAAGTGTGAACCTGCACAGAGAGAAAGCCCCTTTGAATTCCGATCGCACAATTTGTGTTATTTTAGGGTGCTAACACCATTCTCTCTGAAGCATTGCCTTGCAGGAGTCTTAATGTAAAACGCACCCAATCTTGGCTTGATCTCAGCAGCAGCAGGGTGCCTGCTTGCGCACTAAGTTGTGAACAATGAGCAGACAGATCTGCTGGGGCAATAGAGGAGCACCTAGTCCACAGTGGGTGCCCAGTTGACAGCTATAAAAACAAAAGAGAACAGACTATCCCCGAGTGAGTCCACCTGACTCTCTATGCTTACTTTTAGGATGGGTTTTTTTTTTTTTCCAATGTGAAAAAGGATTGAAAAATATTCCGACAAGAGCTGGATTTCCTGGGAATATTACAGCCATGGTAATGGCTGCGAATGTGCAAGGCTTCCCTCATCCAGAAAAGCAGGGAGGGGCAGCCTTGTATTCCATACAACTGAGCCATGAAGGGAATTTCACCGATAAATCCAGCAGAACATAAAAACTATGGAGACACTTAGCACAGACAAGATTTGGCTTCATCTCTGTAGACACTAACACGAATCTCTGAGCCCTTACGAGGCTCAGGTTCTAGGCTGCGCCAGGATCAGGTGAGAAGATGTGCTAATAAATACTGAATAAATTTGAGATCTCCATCAACGTGACACGGACGGAAGGACACAACCCAAGGGGTGAGAGAAGCACGAACTCACAAAGGACCTGGGTCGGTTTGGAAGGGATGAAAACCCACAGCTCACAGGGAGCCCTCACTTGTAACTTTCCCTTCCTGCCAGACAAGGGTTCCTAACCAGAACCTCCGGAACTTTCTCACTCCCCGAAGCTGAAAGCACACTTGTTCATGGGTCCACTCTTCTAAAGCAGGTCTCCCTCAGTGTCCTAGAGTCTCACAGGAGTTTAGAACCTTCTGAAGTCAGGGATCCCTGTTCTAGGATGCACCTGGCTCTTAGACTGGGGTTTGTTTTCAAAGATAAGTATGCGCCAAACCTTCCTCTGCCACCGTCTTGTTCTGCCTCCACAGGCTCGGATTTTCTAAGGAATTTTACTGAGATTCTCGGGACAAACTAGAAAGAAAAACAAAGCACGTCCCACGTACGGACATCAAAGCCGCGTGCGTGCTCCTGATTCTGAGATAAGGACAGCCCGTGCAGGTGTGTGTGATGGAGCCCAGCCTCGGTTTCGGCGCTTCGAAAGCCCTTGCTTGCTTTGAAAGCTGAATTCTTTTACAAAACGTGCATTTTCCTATTTGCTCATATAAATGCATGCCTTGGTTCTCTCCTAATGACTACTGAAGGAGAGTTTATGAATAACAGTCTGGAAATAGCTCAGGGTCTTGCTAACTAGATAGCTAGGAAGAGAAATGGAGGACAGATGGACAGATATGATAGAGAACCAGAAAAGGAAAAGAAGAAAACAATGAAAAGCCAAAACTCTGTTCTCACAGCAAAAAGGGCTTATGTTAATAGCTAGCGTGATTACCAGTGATCAAGCCCTTAATGCTAATGAATTTCCCAGGGTTTTCTGGGCGCTGGGCCAAAGGCAGGTGAGAAGTACAGACGTATTAAATCTCCACTAGGCTGGGCTCCCTTCCCTGTCAATGGCTTTTCTGAAATGGAAAGGGAGAATGAACAAAGGTGTGGGCTGGGGATACAGTTCAGTTTGTAGGAAGCTTGCCTAGCATTTACGAAGTCCTGGCTTTGGTTGCTAGCACCACGTAAGCCAGGTGTGGTGGCACACACCTGTAATCCCAATACTCAGGAAGCAGAGGCAGGAAGACCAAAAGCTCAGGGTAATCCCCAGCTACAAAGAGAGTTCGAGGCAAGCCTGGGCTACATGAGACCTTGTCTCAAAACAAGACAAGAATAGAAGTGTTTGGAGAAATCACTCGCATTTAATTCACAGTGAATTTTCGTTGGATATCAGGCTCTAGACTCAACCCGAGAAAGCAAGAAAAGAGTAAAACTAAGGTCATGCCTGCAAGACGTTCTTAATCTAGGGAAAGACGTAAGTGACAAGGAGCTATTTTTCAATGTATTTGGCACGCTCTTGTGATGGAAAGGTCAAAGGGGAACTTATTTGGAGAAAACGCATGCCCCTGCCATCTGTCCTGTCCTTTCGGCAGCACTGCTTGCTTCTCCAAGGTCTCTGACTTCACACATTTCGTGTTACTACAACAGAATCCCTGAGACTGAGAAACTTAAAAAGAAAAGAAATCCATTTCTAACATTCCAGAGTCTGGAAGATTCAAGGTGAAGGGGCTGTGTCTGGTGAGGGCCTTCTCATTGCATCATTAGGTGTAGAGGTTCACATGATGAGATCCTACACAAGAAGCAAGGAATGAGAGACCATAAAGAAGAAAAATCTCGCTGGGCAGTGGTGGCGCCTTTAATCCCAGCACTCAGGAGGCAGAGGCAGGCGGATCTCTGTGAGTTTGAGGCCAGCCTGGTCTACAAGAGCTAGTTCCAGGACAGCTAGGACTGTTACACAGAGAAACCCTGTCTCAAAAAAAAAAAAAAAAAAAAAAAAAAAAAAAAAAAAAAAAAAACTCACTTTTATAACAAAACCACTCCACTCTCCTGACTTAATCAACTCTGAGGCCCAACCCCCAGTCCTGCTACCATAAGGTCAAAGTTCCTAATACATGAGTTTGGGAGTGCAGAAACCATTAAAACTATGGAAACACATAAGTCGAAATCACATTAAAAAACAGCTCCTTGGCTCCAAGCTTCTCATGACAGAGTTCTAAGATAAAGAGTTTTCTATATTTTGGTTGCAGGGATGTAACAGCTATCCTTGATTGTCAACTTGACTACATCTGGAATTAACACCCAAATGACAGGCAGACCTGTGAAGGATTTCTTCTCAATTAGATCATGTGAAGTGGGAAGACCCCCTTCTAAGCCAGACCTTTGAGGTGGGAAGACACACTGTTAATCTGGGCCCATGTAAGGACAATGGAAGAAGGAAGGGAGCGTGCAGTAAGGATACCACTCGTCCGTTCCAGCTTTCCAGACTGGAAATAATCACACAGAAATCTGTATTCATTGCAATACTGTTCGGCCAATGGCTAAAGCATATTGCTAGCTAGCTCTTACATCTAGAATTAACCCATTTCCATTATTTTATATTTTACCACAAGGTTTGTGACCTACCAGTAAGATTCCAGCTGGTAACTCATGTCTTTCCTCTCTGGCAACTACCTGGCATCTCTCTCCTCTGGTAGTGCCATGGCGTCTCTCTGACTCTACCTTCTTTCTCCCAGCATTCAGTTTAGTTTTCCCTGCCTAGCTCTGTTCTGCCCTGATATAGGCTCAAAGCAGTGTCTTTATTCATTAACCAATAAAAGCAGCACATATCCAGAAGGGCCTCTCTCCCACATCAGAGGTGTGTTTGCCCTTCGCCTACTTTTCCTCACCGTATTAGCGCATCCATTCCTTCACTGGCATTGGAGCAACTTCTTCAGGATCCAATACAGAAGACCAGTAGAGACACCATTCTTGTGGACTGAAAAACTACTGGATTCTCAGACTTCATAGGCAGCATTGTTGGATTAGCTGGACGACACCTGTAAGTCATCCTAATAAATCCCTTTAGAGAGATAGATGAGAGAGAGAGAGAGAGAGAGAGAGAGAGAGAGAGAGAGAGAGAGAGAGAGAGAATTATTCTATAAGTCTTGTTACTCTAGAGAACTCTGACCAAATACAAGGGATAATACCTCCTTTTGCTTCCCAGAAAACATGGGAAAAGGAAAGACACCCACCCACCCACCAGAACCACCACCATCACCACTACTACCCCACCATCACCATCATACTGGAGTGATAAAGTGATGAAATTCTGCTTCCAGAATGCCTTATTCTGCAAAGTTGGGTTTCGTCAGAAAGCCACTTTGCCAGAGTGTAACGAGATCTCAGGCTGTCAGCTCCATCACGGTGGGAAAACCTGGGCCCTTAGTCTGGGGCCTCAGACCATCTTGGCACTGATGCATTTGTTAGTCAAGCTCCAACAAGAAGCTTCTCCTAAGCTCTAATTCCCAGCCTTATTTCTGTCACCAAGAAAGCCACACCCTTCTTGAGTGGGCCTCAGTCCAATTCCAATGGAAAACCACTCTTAGCATTGTCGCGGGAACCTGTCCAGGAGTCACTGAAGGACATGTTGCTTTGGAAACAGATGTGGGCAGGGGAAAGAGAAGAAGACATGCTGACCCTGAGGTCTACAGGGACAGGGTCAAGGAAGGGGATCAGATGAAACAGCATGTGTGTTGGCAAAATACCTAGCTGCTTAACCCTGAGCTTCTTGGTGCTATCACTGACCCACCCTCACTAAGCCCACTTGTCTCTCCACGAGGCTCCCAGATCTGCCCTTCCAGAATCCCAAACCGGAACCAGGAAAGTGGACACTGCAGATGGTCAGCAGGGACTTCCTCCCTGTTGCTGCAGAAAATGAGGAGATTCTGGTCCAAAGTTAAAACTACATGGGAGCTTTCTGGCTACTGGGCACAACACCCTTAGATTCCTGCCCTACAGGGTGGCACCAGTATCCTGGGAGTTGCCCACACCTCACGCAAGGGCTCATATCCCCCTTCCCACTCCATATGAGCAGTATGGCTCCTAACAAGCCAAGTCACCGCCACTATCGTCTGAGACCGCGGCAATGACCTCAAATGTGCTCTCCCTCTAGACTCACCCATTCTTTCCCAGGGGCCTCTCAGAGTTGCCCCCAAACTAGTGTTGCACTACACATTTAAAATCATCACAAGCCTCTCCTCTGTCCTGGGGACAGAAGTTAAAATGCTGCTGGAGAACAAATGCTGCGGCTTCAGTTTGAAATGCCTCCCCTAATGGAATGGTGTGCTGGAATCCCTGGTCCCCAGGTGGTGGGACTACCTTGGGAGGTTGGGGTCTCAATTCTTGTCTCAGCTCTCTGACTTCCCATTGGGAGTAAGCTGTTCAGCCAGCTCCCACTGGCAGCATCCACCACCCTAGAAAGAGCTGCCCACTGCCGTGGGGGACCTCTTCTCCTTTAAGTTGCCTCTATCAGGGTATTTTTCCTACAACCATGAGAGGAGTAACTAACGCATCAAATGAGACCTTTCCTAACCTGTATTTCTCTCTCAACCTGTGGCACATCACAGTACCCTACCCAAGCGAACCTTCTTGCTGTGCCCTGAATGGGATCATTTAGTCAGTCAAAGCAAAATGGAAATTACCGAAAGGATGCAGTATTTGAGACAGAGAGACAGGAACTGTGGGTGTTAGGGAAGGAACAGAAAGTCAAGGATGAGCTATCGGTTCAGCAGGTCCGTCCCCATTGCAGGGAACCTCCTCCATGTCTGCTATCCAGTCTCAGGCCCAGAGGAAAGCTCCGGGGAAAGCTTCTCAATGTCAACCACAGCTTGGGACTTGGTTATACTGACTTCGGGATGAATGCCACTCGTTCAACTCCCTCGTAGGAGAAAGGGCAATGGAGAGCCAGTTCTTTCTACCAGTAATATGGGGGCTGGCAGGTACAAAGAGAGGTGTCCCCCAAAGAAGCCAATATAGCATGAGGAAAGAGTACAGAAAGTGTCGCATGAAAACTAAGGGTCATGACCCTCATTCTTCATCACACTTGACTACCACCCGACAGTCCCCAGCACCGCTACCCCAAGCTTTCAGCTGCACCCCGACTTTTCATATAAGCTACGCTGTGAGATTGCCTCCTCTGTTGAATCTTCTTTGGCATTCATAGGTGGTGTACAGACCTGTCATCTGCTCATCTCTATCCTTTGCCATAGAAAATGAAAGTCGTTTACTTTTCTTCTCTTGTACAATCGCGGGTTAAATGGCCAACTGTGACGCAGCAAGGGAACTGGCCTATCAAGTGTAAACCTGGGAGAAAACATATAAGGGCTCCAGAGAGGTCGCTCTGGAACAGTCACCAGCTGAAGATGACATGGGGACTGCTGGGTGAGTAAAGTTTTTATTGCTGTGGAGAAACACCATGACCATGGGCACTCTTATAAAGGAAAACATTGAATTGAGTTGGTGGTGGTGGCTTAGAGTTCAGAGGTTCAGTCCATTATCATGGCTGGAAGCGTAGCAGCATGCAGGTAGACATGGTGTTGGAGAAATAGCCGAGTATCCTATATCTTGTAGGCACCAGGAAGTTGACTGATAGGCACACTTTTCATGGTGGAAATGGAAGTGCCTCTGGACCTGTCCAACACACTCTGCCTAATCCATTTGTCTTTAGACTGTATTGATTTGCATACTGCAGAACCACATTCCAAATTTCCACCATCCTACCTGTTTCCCACACTGCTGTGACTCAGCACCCTGTCATGGCAACTCTCCCAGAGCCCAAACAAACAAATTCTTTGAAGGCTTCACTGACAGTCTTAACCTATAGGAAGTCCCTGCAATTTATTTCATTGTCTACAAAGAATTTCGATGTAACTTGTTGCAAGATAGAAACGTAATCTATTCCCCCAGCCACCTTTTGAAAACTCTTCACTTATTTTAAGCATGTTCCCTCCTAGATGGGCCTGGCTCCTGTCGGGATCCATTGCTTCAGAGGACATTATGAACTTATTACAAAAGCACTTACTAAGTGAATCATTAATGGTCCTTAATAAAGTCATTTAGGAGAGGATTAATCGATATTGAGTGGGCTTTGTTGGGCATGGAGCCATTTTAGGAGAACAACATGTCATATTGAAAACAGGAAAAATTGGCCTAGCAGACACAGTAATAATGGGTAATGTCTCAGAGGCAGCATCCTGAATCTGTTGCTATTGTCACCCCCAAAGGTAGAGTCTGAGGACCACAATAGCATGGTAAACTAGTGCATTGATATCCTCCTCTACAATCTGAACTCAGTGGTCACAGAAAATAAAGAGCAAATTTAAAACATAGGTGTTTTTTTGAATGAGCCATATGCATATACATACAGAAGAAATAGATACCCACACATCAGAAGCTGACAGAGAAAAAACACATCCACTTACTAAGGTTCTGACAGGGACGGGGTGAGTAAAGGGGCCCTGTCTTAATTTGGGTTTTTATTGCTGTGGAGAAACACCATGACCATGGCCACTCTTATAAAGGAAAACATTGAATGGAGTTGGTGGTCGTGTCTTAGAGTTCAGAGGTTCAGCCCATTATCATGGCTGGGAGCGTAGCAGCATGCAGGCAGACATGGTGCTGGAGAAATAGCCGAGTATCCTACATCTTGCAGGCACCAGGAAGTTGACTGGTAGTCACACTGAAGGAAGCTTGAGAAAAAAGACCTCAAAGCATGTCCCCACGGTGACACACTTCCTCCAACAAGGCCACACCTCCTAAGAGTGTACACAATATAATCCGTCATATAAACAAACTGTAAAAAAAACACAAGATCATTTCATTAGATGCTGAAAAAGCCTTTGACAAACTACAACACCCCTTCATGATAAAGATCTTGAAAAAAGCAGAGATACAAGAAACATACCTAAACATAATAAAGGCAATAGACAGCAAACCAACAGCCAACGTCAAACTAAATGGAGAGAAACTCAAAAACGATCCCACTAAAATCAGGAACAAGACAAGGCTGTCCACTCTCTCCCCTATTCAATATAGTTCTTGAGGTCCTAGCTAGAGCAATAAAACAACAAAAGGAGGTCTAGGGGATACAAATTGTAAAAGAAGAAGTCAAACTCTTACTATTTTCTGATAATACGATAGTTTACGTAAGTGACCCCAAAAATTCTACCAAGTGTTGTTGGAGGCTGCTTGTTTATTTCTGGCTGCCAGGCTAGCTTAGACCCAAAATAACCACACAGAAACTGTATTAATTAAATCACTGCTTGGCCCATTAGCTCTAGCTTCTTATTGGCTAACTCTTACAGGGTCGGGGCAGGCAGGGTAAGGGCAGACAAGAGGGATGCTGCCAAGGTGGGATTCTGTTTGAGACCTGCCTTGAAGCATTAGGTCTGCACACAGAAGACCCAGATGCTATCCCAAATTGTCTCTTAGTCACCAGTTTCTGCCTTCCTGCTTCAGCGCTTATTCCCTAGTAAGGAGCTTAGCAAATACAGTGAAGGGCGAGTAAAGGTAAAATTCCTCTCGCTACCGATGACCTTCACAGCTGCACCACTGACATCAAAACACTTTGAAACCATGAAAAATAATAAGTGTGATTCCCAAGATGATAAAGAAAGCTGGTGGACTCAGCTCCAAGCTACAAAGCCAGGAAGATGTGGGTCCCTATGAAGGCCCAAGAGGAATGTGCAATAATACTACCCTCTGCGAGCAACTGACTCAGAGCTCAGAAGCTGTCTTCTGTCAAGGATGGATCCCCAGTAATGAATACAGTTGAGCTGTCACCCTAGCCGCTGGAGCTACTGCCTTTGCAGTGTTCTTCGTAGGAGTCTTTACTTCTTCTGGCCTTCCCTTTCCCAGTACTTGGGCTGCCCTTGCTCTGCAGACTGCAAGCTGTCTTGTTTGAAAAGCTATTCTGCAGGTCCCGAAATGACTAACTGCCAAAATGGGGGTTAATTGACCCTTTGTTGATCCTGAACCCAAACATGATACACTGTAGTATTTCCCTTTTTAAAAAAAACTGTTGAGGTTTCACACCTTCTCCCCCACTGCCTGCCCAGGGACCTCCTTGCTTAGCTGGGTTTTGTTTCCCTTTTCTGTCCCGGTCCAGTTTGTGTTTTAGGTAAGGAGAAAGCGCATGTAGCCAGAAGTACCCTGGGACTTTCTCTCACTTCATCTGACAGTAATTACAGGCTGTGAAGGCCAACGTAAACCAGGCTTTAGAGTGTCTTCAGGAAAAGATGACTTAAGAAGGAAGCTTGTCTGTCACTCCCGAGCTCTTCCTCCTCAGCACCAAATTGCTCCATTAGCTAACAAACGCGCTTACTGCCTCTGGCCCCAAACCTAGTTCACTGTGGCCCAGTTTTTCCTGGGTGTTGGCAAAGGGCTTACCTGGGGTTGAGAGCCAAGCAGCAGATGACTGACATTAATTCTTTTCATTATCTCTGTTCTCATCTCCCGTTTCCATCCTACAACCACGTGGCATTGTCTGTCCAGATCCTACAGGGTTCCTGCCACGGAAAAGACTTCTCTGACTGTAGGTGAAGGGGCTTCACTTCATTAAAGGACACAATAAGACTACAAGCAGCTACCTAGAATGGTCATGCAGAGACACATTGCCCCCAGGATCCACACCGTCTCTTATCCGTGGAACTGTCACCCACCACCATCTGACAAAAATGGTTTTTGGTTTGGGGACAAAGGATTGGATTTTTGTGTTTCTATTGGTTTCCAGTGGAGTTGATGACCCTTAGATCCTGGAGCTTGCAGCATAGACCAGGCTGACCTGGAGCTCACAGAGATCCACCTGCCTCTGTCTCCTGAGTGCTGGGATTAAAGGCGTGTGCCACCATGCCCGCTGCTCTGTGCGATTTCTAGTGTCCTTTTCAATTCGTATTCCTTGCTTAGTTCACTCTGTAAAGAAGAATTTGAAGAAAGGGTTTTGCTCAGTGGTAGAGTCTTTTCCTTCAAGTTTTCTGCGGCAGACATAGTGTTAACATGGACTCCTGAGACCATCCAGCACTACATGGACCTCCTTGTGGGCCTGCTTGTCAAACTGCCTCTGGTAAAACTGGCCCGGAGCCTCTAGAGCAAGGGTCAGGAGACAGGATGTAGGGTTTATGTCACTATGCGAACTGGAAAGCAAAGATAGCTGCTTTATACTGGGAACCCAGTGCTCAGACGTTACTTCACAGCACAGCAGAGCCGTGGAGTGGATCTCTGCTGCGACTTCTGCTAAATGGCTTGACATTTGGTTCCCAGCCCTCGGTGATATTCTTGTCACTGGGCCAAAGGCTTCATCAAAGGAATGATTCTACCATGGCCATTTTTTATGTGCTATTCATAGTAATAATTATGGGCTTCCTATAGCCAACCATTGGGCCAACGCCATAAAACAAGCAAAAATTGGCCCAACCTTCCTAATGGCTCATCGCCCTCGAGATCATTTTAAGTATTCAGCATTAATCACTCGATAAATTCTCATGGAACAATTGCTATGGGTGTGGAAGTAAGGGGTGCGTTTGGTTTGTTGGGGGATGATGAAGTCAATGCATCCCTGCCCTCAAGGAATTTACCGCATTGCATAGAGGATAGATACAGGTATTTAAAAAAATAGATATTCCTAAGTATTGTTGGGGAGGACCAAGAGGAGAGGCTAGTCAGCTTCTTCTGAGAGGGGTGATGGGAAACCACACTGCGTTCCTTTATCTTTCTTGTGCTCGTGAGTGAGAGATTTGTCTCCAGCCACTGGAACTCCCTGAGCCTACTAGTGTCACGAACTCCTTCTCATCTCCATACTGTTTTGGATGGAGTAATTTATTCAGAGCCTCATTGGTCTACTCTTTATGCCATTTTCACGATGAAAGGCAAAAAAGAGAAAACAGAGCTGTCTGACCTAGTGGAGAATAACACCCTCCCTCAGGCTTGAGTCTGAAATGTCCCCTGCAGGTTTGTGTCCATTTGCCAGCACGGGGGTGCCATCCTGAAGGCTGGGGCCATTTAGCAATCCTGGGTAGGGGATTAGGTGGCTAATGGGCCAGCTTTTGAACTTGTCCCTGGTTCCAACTCGTTTTCTCTGCCTCCTGAGCTGCCACCACGTGAACGAGCCATGGCCGAATGCTCCTGCCAGCAGACTGCATCAAAACGCTGGGTTTTGACTTCCCCACCACAATTGACTGGGACCCTATCTTCAGTTTACTTTTCTGCTGGTAAGACAAAACGCTGACCAAAAAGCGAGTTAGGAGAATAAAGGGTTTGTTTGACTTACACTTCCACATTCCCGCCTATTATCTAGGAAGTCAGGGCAAGAGCCTCAAGGCAGGAACTAAAGCAGAGATCATAGAGGGGTGGTGCTTACTGAATTGCTTCCCTAGCTTCCTCATGCAGCCCAGGCCCTCCTGTCCAGGGATGGCACTGCCCACAGTGAGCTGGGCCTTCCCGCATCAATCATTAGTCAAAAAACAAATGACCCACAGAGGTGCCCACAGGCCAATCTAGTGGAAGCAATTCCCCAGTTGATGTTTTTTCTCCCCAGGCAACTCCAATTTGGCAAAAACTAACCAGCACAGCCCTTTGAAACCACGAACCAAAACAAATCAGTCCTTCTCCTAGTTCCTTCTATCAAGTATTTCGATGTCAGTGATGCAGAGAACAACAAATACTTTTAAGAGAAGGCCTCTTGCTGGGCAGTGGTGGCACACACCTTTAATCCCAGCACGCAGCACTCGGGAGGCAAAGGCAGGTGGACCTCCGTGAGTTCAAGGCCAGCCTGGTCTACAGAATGAGCTCCAGGACAAGCTCCATAGCTACAGAAAAACCCTACATCAAACCCCCCACCCCGCAAAAAGAATAGGCCTTTCTAGCCACTTGAAATCTGCTAAGGGTTTCAGAGAATCAAAGCCTACAGCTGTCTTCATTTCTTTATTGTAAACCATCCCATCCTCGCTCCCCCCCCCAGCCCAGCCCAGTGTGTCTTTTCTCTCTGTCTGCAATACACTCTCAGCACACACCCAAGGACTAAAACATTTTCCTGGAACCTTCTCTGACCGCTCTACTCAAGACAGGCCTTCCCACCTGCCACCTGACCCAGACGACAACCTGTCTGTCTCACTCACGACATTTATCACGGTTACCATTGCTCTGCCAACCCAGACTGTGAGCGCCTCTAGGGCACGGTCATTTCTATCTGGTTCAAAAGGATCCCTGGTTCTTAGCACCGTACCCTGCCTATAGGATGTGCAGAACTTGGATGAGAATGGATGAGAGAAGCCTGTACCATTTTACCCCACTCCAAAGTAAACGTAAATGCTTAAGTGCAGGAAGTGCGTGTGTGGAGAAGCCAGGAACTAAAGGAAGACCCTTTCCCTGTGTGTGGGTGCATTGATTGGGCAGGGTGGGCAGTCTGGAGTCCTGAAGTGAGCCCTTTAACTGAAGGACACTAACAAAGAGGATGCTTAGTGGGGCTGGAGATGCGGCTCAGTCAGTCGCGTGCTTTCCCAGTGTGCACAAAGCCGAGTTCAGTCCTCCTCCCCATATAATGGTGGTGCACGTGATCCCAGCAATCAGAATGTGGCAACAGGAGCAGCAGAAGCTCCAAATCATCCCTGAATCCATAGCGGTGGGGAGCGACAAACAGGCAAAGACACAGACGACAGACAGACACACAGAACAGAAGAGCAGGTACAAAACACTAGAGGGCGAGTCCTGGGAGATTCCATGGGTACCTCAGCTCAACTCTGCCTCTGTGCCACCCCGCAGCCCCTAAGGTTAGTAGCCTAAGCCTCTAGGCAATTTCACTTTCAGTCGTCGGCCAATCCCACATTATTTTGAAACACACAGGACACAACAGGGTTGCCTGGCTCAGGAAGGCTGAGGAATACAGTGGCATTTTTTGTTAATCGGCAGGAAACACAGCTCTTGTTTGGGGCAAGAGGGGAGAAAGGCCCTGAGAGTAATTTATATCTGAAACCGTTTAGCCGCCCGTGGGAAATGCGCCGCTTCTAATTCACAGCAGACCCGGCTCTTTTCTGCTTTTTGTAATCGGTCTCATTCTGTTTCCTGTTAGCAAAAAAACACTTTTTTTTTTTTCTCAATCCATTAGATTCTCCCAAGGGTTGATAAGGCTTGGAGTCCTGCATATCTTATGAGAAGTAATCAAAACTTCTAATTAAAGTTTTGTTCTCACAGTCAAGCCTTGAACCTGTGCCCTTTGGCTCCACAGTTAATTCATTTTGAGCTCCAGCCAGAGGATAAATCGCTGTGTGTGGGAGGAGCTATTATTAACTATCATTTCTGCTTCGGAATAAGAGAGTGTTTTTGCTGTAACAGTACAACTCAGAATCTGCTGTGTATCCCTGCATCCCTGACACCCAGCTCAGACCCAGGTCACACCTGGCAGTCAGTGTAAAGTGACTGCAGCCCCGCCTGGACCCATCACCAATGGCTCATCGGCTAATCTGGCAAGAGAGACAGGAAGGGCTTGCCAAATAGGTCACTGAACCTAGCGATGGGAAGCTGAAAGTAGACCGGACATGGATGGCTTGGTAATTTCCCAAATTTTAAGCAGAAGATTCATATTCTGAGGTTTGGAGGGCTGCCTGCGATCTGTTCTCCATAAAAGCAAACTGTACAGCACAAATGGAGGCAGAGATGAGCCACCTGCTTATTCCCCAAGGCGGACTTCATTTTTCCCAAGGCAAAATCCTTCTCCCGCTGCAGGTCTAAATATTTGCAACTGAAGGCAGTCCTACAAGGCTGGAATCCAGGGTTGGGCCTAGACATTTACATAGAAGTTTGGGCATAGTGACCTGGCCCTCAGCTTCTGGCACACCTGAGAGCCACCCAGCATCTCACGTAACTGGGAAGGACAAACATTTCCTAAGACTTTTAGTAAATGGGTTCAAGGCATCCTCCTACCTTGGCCTTCTCTGTAGCTGATGCTCCAGGCCTGCACCTGCCAGGAAAGCGTACTTTATCGAATTTAAGTACTACAAAGTGTCCCTCGAAATGTAAACCGTGGCAGGGTCCGAATGCTCCCAAGCCTGGCCCAGCTGTAATTGAGAGGAGACTCCGCTTTCAAACGTCATTGCAATAGCTGTCTCAGTTTTTTTCTCTCTTCAACAAGAATGAAAGTACTACTTTTGAGACCTTTGGAGACCACTAGATAGTTTCTGGAAAGTAAGTATCTTTTCTGCAACCAAGCGTTAGTCTTTATGCAAAACTAGTTTTTGCTTGCAAAATAGCTATTGTGTTTGTAAAGAGGTTTTTGGATTTGGGGCTTTGTATTTGGGGGGTGTTGCTGTTGTTTGCTTGCTTGTTTGTTTTTCAGAATGGGGGCATGGTAGACGGAAGGGAAACTCTTATGTGGGAGCTGCAGTAGCCATTGACAGACTGAGCAGAATCTGACCCAAGTGTAGCCTCAGATCACTCTCCAGGGCTTCTCAAGGTCCATCTGTCTTGGGTCTTGCGATTACCTAAAACAAGAAAGACAGGTGACAACACACGGGGACCCTTGCTAATCAAGAAGGAGCCCATGTCTGGCTCCTCTCTCTCCCGCTCTGGGTATGTTCTCCAATGTTGATGCGCTTGCTCTCCAACCCTAACAGAAAACAGGCTGTGGGGAGACAACAGAGATGAGACTGGAATAGAGCATGTGGCCAACCCATTGACATTCTCTTCTGCCATATACCAATGATTCCTTTTGAAGAGAGAACCTTATGTATGCAGGCTGGCCTGCAACTTGCTACGTAGCTAAGGATGACCTTGAACTTTTTGATCCTCCCGCCTCCATCTCCCAAATGCTGGGATTATAACCATGCACTTATGCCTGGAATGTGTAGTGCTAGGAGTCAAATCAAGGGCTTTATGCAAGCTAGGCAAGCACTATACCAACTGAGCCACATCCGCAGCCCCATCTATATATTTTAAATGCACAGTTTGAATGTAAGTTGAATGATTTTGTCAAAGAGTAGTGTGCTTTTATAGCTATTCAGCAATTAAACTCATATCCCCTGATTTTATCCCTGAGTTATAAGTAAGATTGAACGGCTGTCCAGACAGTGCTGGAATGAAGAGGGCGCCCAGTAAGACACAACAAAGTGAAAGGGTTGAGACTTTGACTGAATGATAAAAGCTCCACCTTCCATTGTGGTGGTTTGAAAGGGAGTGGCACTATTAGGAGGTGTGGCCTTGTTGGAGGAAGTGTGTCACTGTGGAGGAGGGCTTTGAGGTATCATATATGCTCAAGTTATGCCAGTGCCTCAGTTCACTTCCTGTTGCCTGTGCAAGATACAGAACTCTCAGCCACCTTTCCAGCACCATGTCTGCCTGCAAACTGCCATGTCCACCGTGAAGACAATGAACCAAACCTCTGAACTGTTAGCCACCCAATTAAATGTTTTCCTTTTTAATAGTTGCTGTGGTCATGGTATCTCTTCACAGCAATATCAACCCTAACTAAAACATCCCATCAGCCCTACAGCCCCTTTCCTCCTCTTCTTCCTCCCCTTCCTTCTTCTCTCTATAGACAGAGGCACTGAATTTACTGACTCCTTTGGACATAGAGCTGAAGTCGGCCTTCTCCCATGGGTGCTTTTCCTTTTCTAGTTCACTCACTCCCACCCTCTTCCCCAGCCCCAGGGTCTCTGACACCCTGTTGAGAGAAACAGATGAAGAAGAAATAATTGCAGGGTCAACGTCATACAGCTCCATTGGCTTCCCCGGACATTCTCACCTTTGAGCCTGCGAGTTGTGGAAGAGTTTTAGAAAATCTTCCCTATGCCTGCAAGATGGCCCAGCAGGTAAAGGCATTTGCCCCCATGATGGATGACCTGCGTTAGAACCCCAGAGTCACATGGTGGGAGAAAGGAACTGATGTGTTGCTTTTATTGGTTAATGAATAAAGAAGCTGCTTGGGCCTATGGCAGGGACAGAATAGAGCTAGGCAGGAAAACTAAACTGAACGCTGGGAGAAAGTAGGCAGAGTCAGAGAGATGCCATGTAGCTGCCAAAGGAGAAAGATGCCCATGGGAGCCTGGTAGAACACTGCCAGTAGGCCACAACCTCATGGTGATGCACAGATTAATAGAAATTGATTTACTTAAGATATAACAACTAGCTAGCAATATGCCTAAGTGATTGGCCAAGCAGTGTCTTAATTAATATAGTTTCTGTGTGATTGTTTCAGGTCTAGGTGGCCAGGAACAAACAAGGAGCCTCTGCCTACAGTCAATGAGTCAATGACGTAAGAGAGTTGCTCAAACACAGAAGCAGAAGGCCAGTGATGAGAATCACAGAAGCATCCAGAGAGCTACCAAAAGGTACCAGGAGAGGCAAGGTGACAGCAGTCAAACCCAGAACAACCATGCACAGGAGAAGCCATAATCTAAGATATACAGAATGGAAGAGGGTCAGGGGGCAAAAGGAGTCCCCTTGCTATGGATTCTGGTCTCTTGTTTCGTCTCAGTCCCCTTCTCCCACATGGGCCAAACAGAGCCAGAGACTAGTGAAGGAATTTAGCAAACCATTGCCGATAATTAGGAAGCGCTTGCTTCCCATCTCTTCAGTTTCGCTGCCCTCAGTTCTCTTGCCAACCAAACATGTTTCTTTATCTTAATATGTACATGAGGCTTTGTTCTAGCACTGTGAGAGACAAAAGAAATATCCACCATGGCCTTGACCCATTGTTCCCTTGCCAGTCTGGAAAGTAAGAAATGAGCAGATAAAAACATATAAGCAGAAGGTGAACCCAAAGAAAAACATATAGTCATCCTCCTGGATATTAACCTTCATCAGGCAATGAAAGGAGACAGAGACAGAGTCCCACATTGGAGCACCGGACTGAAATCCCAAGGTCCAAATCAGGAGCAGAAGGAGAGAGAGCACGAGCAAGGAACTCAGGACCGCGAGGGGTGCATCCACACACTGAGACAATGGGGATGTTCTATCTGAAACTCACCAAGGCCAGCTGGCCTGGGTCTGAAAAAGCCTGGGATAAAACTGGACTCACTGAACATAGCAGACAATGAGGACTGCTGAGAAGTCAAGAACAATGGCACTGGGTTTTGATCTTACTGTACGTACCGGCTTTGTGGGAGCCTAGGCTGTTTGGATGCTCACCTTACTATACCTGGATGGAGGTGGGAGGTCCTTGGACTTCCCACAGGGCAGGGAACCCTGACTGCTCTTTGGGCTGATGAGGGAGGGGGAGTTGGTTGGGGGAGGGGGAGGGAAATGGAAGGCGGTGGAGGGGAAGAGGCAGAAATCTTTAATAAATAAATAAATAAACAAACAAACATATAAGCGGAAATGCTTTAGATATCACCCCAATGTGGAAATCTCATCGACACCGTGAACTTGAACATGTCCACAATGGCCCTTCTGTTTCCCCGGGAATTCTACACACCCCTTTCCACTCTCTTCCTGATCCTCCTTCTAAGCACAACTCTTCTCATTACAAGCCAAGCTGAACTGATTTCTCCCACCGGAAGCACTTTAGCCTGTGCCTTTCACATCTGTCTTCTTCCCTTTGTCAACCGCCAGTGTCTCAGGCTGAGACCAGACTCCGGCCACATCTCAGTTCTCTGCAGTTCTCTCACTTGCTCGGTGGAGCAGGTGCCAAGATGCCCTCCTTGCTCCCTTCTCCCTTTCTGCTCCCATCACTTGGACTACTGCAATGGCCTCCTCCCTAGCCCCTTCCCTCTACCTGATGGCTCCCCTATTGTCCACACAGCAGGCAGAATGGTTTGGGAGTTTTGACTGTTTTTTTTTTAAGATTTATTTTTATTTTATGAGTGTTTTGCCTGAATGTGTACATGGGCATTGCATGCATGCGTGATGCCCACCGAGGTCACGAGAGGACATCAGATCTGGACTGAAGTCACTGATGATTGCAAACTACATGATGTTGTGGGATATTTGATCACCTGTGACACCCGGAGACTGTGTTAATAAAATTAACCTTGAATCGGGGTCAGAGCAAGTGAATAGCTGGATGGAATTAGTCATGGGGAAGCCGGGAATATGGATAGAGAAGACACACAGGCAGGAGTAGGGAGGGACGTAGAGATCTTGTGCTATCCTACACCTGGGAAGTGAGAAGAGAAGGTCGACTGGTCCCTCCTCTGCTGCTTCAACTCCCAAGTCTTTATTAGTAATAGGACAACTTAGATAAACACATCAACATGGGTGTTGAAAACTGAACCCACATCCTCTGCAAAAGCAATAAGCACTCATAACTTCTGAGCCATTGCTCGGAGTGATCTTTGAAACTAAGTTGGAGTATGTCGGTGCTCAGCTTAAAATCCCCAGAAGTCTTCCACTCCATCACGCCTAAACTTCAACCTAAAGCTTGCTCCCTGAAGCTACAACCTGCTGCTCTGTGTCCTTGTCTCTCAGTGCCCCACTCATAGCCGGTAGATAACACGCTCTACTTCTGCTCTCTGGGGATTTCCTCCAAGGCTATTCACTGTGTCCTGTGTGCGTGAATAACCAACACTCAGTGCCCTGCTATGCGTCAGGGAGCTGGCCTGGTCCTAACCTCAAGCTTTCAGGTTATCCTGAATCCGGGTAGCATTTCCCTTGATCCATTCTCAGTATACTACAAGACCTTCTCACAGTTGACATTTCTTATGACAGATCTCAGTTTAAATGCTACCTCTTAAGAAAACCCATTACTAAACTACCAATTCAAAATAACTCATCAGCCCCTCTCAAGCCCACTGTCACTGATTTTTTTAATTTTTTTTATTTTATGTTTTGCTTGCATGTGTGTATGTGAGCCACATGCCTGCCTTGTGAGGGTGTCGGATCCCCTGGAACTGGAGTTACAGATGGCTGTGAGCCACATGCTGGTACTAGGAACCAAACCCACGTCCCCTGAGAGAGCAACAGGTGCTTGGAAGTGCTGAGCCCTCTCTCCAGCCCCACCACTAAATTTTCCCTGAGACACTTTTCACTAAATACCCTTTGCATTGTTGAGCTGTGTGATTGCCTTCCTCTGCCTTACAGCCCACGACCATACATGCACACACATGCTTGCACACAGGCACACACAAACACACACTATTAGGATGTAAGTTCCATTCCATTTTGTCTCACTCTATTTCCTTGTGCCTAGGAAGGACCTTCATAAGTATTCGCCATACAAATGTGTCCAATATGATGTAATTTTCCCAACTAGAAAGGGTACCATCAATGATAAATGCTAAACTGTTTCAAAGGGGGAAAGAAAGCCGTACGAGCCAGCTGGGCCAGAGAGGCTGTGTGGAGGCTGTGTGGAGGCTGTGTGGAGGCCATAAGACACATCAAGCCATTGCGGAGGACGAGGACAAAGAAAGAGGAAGGCCCCACACTTCTGACATGAGTCAGTACAAGGACAAGCCACTTACACTACAGGAAGAAACAATAAAGACTCAACATAAGCCAGACAGTCCGGCTCCACATGTAGACAAAACCCCCAAGCTCTACTGG